GATGCCCCCTGGTTTGATGCCACAGCTTCGACTTCATGCTGCCCGTGGTCTGTCCATGTTTGGAAGCACCTATCTGTGCGAACAGTTTTTTTCCATAATGAATCTGAACAAAAACAAGCACAGATCACGCCTCACGGATGACAACCTCCATGCTGTTCTACGCATTGCCTCAGCACAGGACCTAAAGCCAGACATTGACACACTGGCAACGGGAAAACGGTGTCAGACATCTGGTCAGAAAAACACAGGTTAGCATTTTTTTTGAAAACTAAAATATAATAAAATGTAATTCAACCAAGAAGAAGAACAGTTAAACTGTGTGCAATTTAATGATTGTGCTTGCATTTTGTTTTGTGTTTATCATTTTCAGAACATGATCAATCGATAGTAGAGAGAGAATCCACTTGGTGTGTTCAAGGACAGGCAGCATCTCCTCATCAAAGACTAACCAAAAAACTTGAGTAATATAGTTGTGAACTGAGTCAACCTTTATTTTGTTTTTTTAGTTGATTACATATTATTTATGTATAGCTGCTGTTGTAATTATTTAATGTTTGCAGGTCTTATGTGTGTATGCAGGCCAATTGTTGTCATCAAACCATCAGTTGGATGCAAGGCTGTGTGTAGCCTTCTTTTGTAAAATGCTACATGTGTCATACATGTTCTTTGCAGCTCAGTTTTAGGATGTCTTCAAAGCTATTTGACTATTTGTTATTTTTCTTTATTCACTTGAACAGTTTGATCCTTCATTAATGGAGTTATGTGGGTTTTCATAAGCTGACAAAATTTTAAAGGATTTATGTTAGAGCAACAAGCAAACATATGTTTTCTATGCAACTGTAATTGTCACTTGAATAAGTTATAATAAATAATGAGTTATTTAACATTAAGGAGTAGTTACATTTTATTTTACATTACATTACATTACATTTAGTTACATTTTTAAGTTACATCTGGCCCTTTAAGGACAGCCATTATGCTGATGTGGCCCTCGGTGAAAATGAGTTTGACACCCCTGATCTAAGGATACCCCAGACTTCAGAAAGTTTTAAGGAAGGACTGAATACCTTTTTATTTGAACGATTTTATAGTATATAAAGGTATTTTTAATCTGCTGTTTATAGTTTGTTTACTTTTTTAAACATTTTTAGTCATTTTTTTTGTCCGTGTTTTATTCTCTCTATCCATCCATCCATTTTCTTTACCCGCTTATTCCATTTTGGGTCACGGGGGTCGCTGGTGCCCATGTCCAGCAATCACTGTGCGAGGGGCGGGGTACACCCTGGACGGGTCGCAAGTCCATCACAGGGACACATAGAGACAAACAACCATTCACTTTCTCACTCACACCTAGGGACAATTTAGAGTTACCAATCAGCCTAACATGCATGTTTTTGGTCTGTGGGAGGAAACCGAAGTACCTGGAGAAAACCAGTGCATGCACAAAGAAAACATGCAAACTCCACCCAGAAAGGTCCCCAGCCGGGATATGAACTGGCGACCTACTTGCTGTGAGGCAGCAGCTCTACCAACTGCGCCACCGTGCCACCTACTCCATAAACAAAACAGAAGAGAAAGAAAATATTGTAAAACTGACTGAGGCATTACTAAGATTTGAAATGTTTAAAATCCAAAGGATGCAGTAGAAGCTCCAGTCCACTTCTAATACCGAGTTTCTGCTTCTGAATTACTACCAGAGTTGATTAACAGAGTTCTTGTCAATACCAGGTAGAGGATGAAACATATCCTCTCCTGTCAATAAAGCAGGTGCAACTGAGCCAAGAAAGAAACAAGAAGAGCATCAACTGTATAGACGGAGATGGGGTAAGCATGTGGTGCCTGCCTCCAGTTGGAGATATTAAGAACAGTGCAGGAGTTTTAGATGTGAGAGCAGATAAAGAGCAAGCTTGGAGAAATGAAAAGGGAATAATTCATGACGGTGAAGGAGAGGGTGACAGGCTGAATCCAGGCCCAAACAGGATTTGGTATTTCTGCTTATGTCAGCCTCTGCTCATTTGATCATTTCAATACCAAAGTGCAACATTTCCTTGTTATATCCCCCAGCCTGCCCCACAGGCCCAATTAAAACTGGGAAACACATTTGCCTTTTTTTCTTTAGTTTCTTTAACATCTTGCTCAGCTCAGTATTCGCACAGTTTTGTTTCCTGCTTCCTCTTTCACTTTCTTTGAATTTTCCTCAGCATTTCAGTCCTCTCACTGGTAGTTGGCAAGGGAGAGCCACTTCAAGCCTTTCACTGTACTGGATCCTATACTGTAAGACGAGACACAGCAAAGGACTCCCTACATCTTAAATACCACACTGACCTTTTGCAAACAGATGAAATGACTACTGTTTAATGATGAATAGGAAACCTTGTAATTTGCCGTGCACTCTTTATGTCATAAGTGAATATGGAGGAACTCTCCTTTGTACAGCACAAAGCACCAAGAAGTTAAATTTCATTAGCACCGAGCTGAAAGTCCATTTAGACAGAAACATTTTCTTCAGCACGACACAGCAATCTGAGTGTCTGAATGGGAGATATAGTATGTATTGACTCCTTTGGGCCAAACCAAAATGTTAAAAAATTTATTTAACAAATTTAGAAAAAAAATAAATCTTTGTGATGCCATTGAAGCAAGTAAAAAAAAACAGCTACTAGGGGGCACAAGCCATTGTATGGCTTGGAGTGAGAACAGAGGATGCAGAAGACAGAGTAAGATGGAGGAGGATGACTCACTGTGGCACCCCTGAAAAGGGAAAAGCCGAATGAAGAAGAAGAAGAAGATTGAAGCAAGTCAATGATTTTTTTGGTGAGATTTCAGCATCTACTTAAAAAAAGGAAATAATCTTGGCACAGACTTTGGTGAGGAATTACTATGACATCTGTGCCTCAAGCAAACAAATTTAAGGGTCTAAGAGTCTGGTTCACAAGTGATGGCCTGGTGGAGAAGATGGGGCCACTAATGGAGACTTTGCATTCTCTCCATTGGCTCTCTGTCAAATTCAGTATATAATTCAAAATTTTACTTATAACATATAAAGCTCTCAACTACTTAGCTCCATCTTATATTACATATTTTATTGTTCCATATTTTCCTAACAGACCACTTCACTCTCGAACTGCAGGTTTACTTGTGGTTCCTAGAGTTTCCAAAAGCAGAATGGGAGGAAGATCTTTCAGTCATCAGGCTCCTCTCTTGTGGAACCAACTTCCAGTTTCTGCGCGTGAGGCTGACACATTGTCCAGTTTTAAGACTGGGCTTAAGACTTTCCTTTTTGATAAAGCTTATAATTAGGGTTGGCTTGGGTTTCCTGAGCTATCCCTTATACGCTGCTATTGGTTTACACTGCTGGATGACAAACTGATCACATTTCTTCAGTCTGCTACTGTCTTTACTTACTCTACCTGTTTGTATTTGTAATTATTTATATCTTAACAAGTTTTTTGTCTTTCTTCCAATAAAGGGTACACCTGGACCTACCATTCTGTGTTTGTCTGTTTCTACTTCCTGTCCTCTCAAACCCAGCTGGTCGAAACAGATGACCACTCATCCTGAGCCAGGTCCTGATGGAGGTTTCTTCCTGTTCAAAGGGAGTTTTTCCTTTCCGCTGTCTCCTTTGTGCTTCATCAGGATGAGTGACTGTGACGAAGTGAAGATTCAGCACAATCTGCTGCTTCCCTAACTTATAGCATAGATACAGTGCCTTGCGAAAGTATTTGTCCCCCTTGAACTTTTCAACCTTTTGCCACATTTCAGGCTTCAAACA